GATGGAAACCAGAGAAGAACCCCCTTTATATAGGGGGAAATTGTCATCATTGGGCGGGAGAACCAAAACAGCGCATTTAATGCGCACGACGTCCCAAGCCGGGGAAAGCTGCTCGAGGCCATAATGAAGGACGGATGGCAGTTGGAAAACCCTTCGTCTCCTTACAACGCGTGTCCTCGGTGTCAGAAGATCGAAGGTTGGGGGGCAGTTGATGGGACTCTTCTGAAAAGCCCTAAGATGAAGACACGTGTCCTCGGGTTTTTTGGAAACAGTGTTGCCCGGATGTAAGCACCATCGGCGAAGAGCGTCCTCTCCCTCGAGGTACCTCTTAAAGGATCATGCATTCAGTGTATTATACAACACGTGTCCTCGGTCACCCGTGTACCTCGGAAACATACCACCCTCGGTTCCCGAGGTGAGCCTTTCCTCGGTGCCGAGAGTCACTCCGTCCTGGACGCTTCCCCTACACCCGGATAGAGCTACTGACGTACGGGTCATCAGCCTATGCCAGTCTAGACTACTCATCATGACCTCGTCTTACACAAGTAATGTCAGAGCATACCAAAATACAGTAATCACAGCCAGTAAGGGATGGACGCGTGGCAAACGATGTCACATCAAAGACAGACAAACTGCACGCCGTTACTGACACATGGCTTGGGAAGGCAAACAATTAATTGCACCCTTCTGTTGACGAGACCGCATTCAATGTGGTAAGGTTAGGATATGAAATNGGATCCTGCAGAATGGAATCGTCGACCCTGATCACTCGGTTCATGTGATCAGTGGCTCGGGGATTCCACTCCGCGGCCTCCACTGTAGGCAGGAGGGAAGGAGCAGTCTGCTGCTGTTGTTGTTGCTGTTGCTGCTGTTGTCGGGGCTGTTGTTGCTGCTGCTGCTGTTGTCGGGGAGCAAGGGGTAATCCACGATCCCTCCCANTGGCTTTGAGGTAGAAGTGTTGGTGAGACATGACTCTTAGCAGGGAGTAACAGAAAAGGAGATCATTGAGCCCAATATTCANGTCGGGGCTGTTGCTGCTGCTGCTGCTGTTGTGGGGGGAGCAGGGGGTAATCCACGATCCCTCCCACTTTGCTGTTGAGCGGGAGGTGCCCTGGGTCCCCGGCTAAGGCCGTCATGCCGATGCTTGACCCTTCTCTCCTCTTCCACCTGAGGATCCCGGTCTCGTACCTGACCCCGACCGAGAACCCTCGAAGAAGTNAACATTAAGGCAGCATTGCCCGGGGAAGAGGCGAAAGCGAGACAGGAACTGAAGAAGTAGGGGGGTAAAGGAAACCTAATTCCACCCTCTATGATGGCCTTGGTAANCCCGAGCAGTCAATTAGAGAAGACATTCCTCATCAAATCAATACACACGCCACCTGTGCCTGATGATCGTTTACTGACCGCACTGACAGCAATCATGAGCTTTTAAGGTATAAATACTCCTCCCAAAAGGCAAAGCGGGTATGCAATCACAAACTCTCTACTACAATACAGATTTTCTCAGTGTTTTCTTCTTCCTCTCTCTCATCCAAAGACTGACTAGACCGTCGGAGGGGATACGCCGGAATACACTCCGGCACCCTTCTAACTTGTTCCTCTTTATTCCAGGAAAACCTTTCACACATACAGGATTGTTCTTCCTTTCCCAGGATCTTCCTTTGCCGTTCCAGGTTGCCACCGTACCTTGCAGGCTGTTTCAAGCAGCGTGTTTGGTCACTCAACCGGCTCACTCAAAGTTCACCAGAGGAGAGATCTGTTCCCAATATTTTTTATATTGTGCAGGATCTTGCACGCACAGGTCTACTAATACGAGAGATGGTAGAGAATGATTAGCTATGTCGTCACACTCGTATTGAAGTCCTCGGTAGATCTTACAAAAGACGGCTCAAATACATAATCCTAATTGTAAAGGAGTAACCATTAGAAAACATAGACCCTATCATTGGTTTGAAATTTGATCTAAACCCAATTTTAATATATCGATATTCAATCCAGTCACAATTATTTATATTTGTATCTAATTTTTTTAACCAAAGTTTAAACAAATTATTCGAATTTAATTGGTTGAAAAAAAGTTCAAACGAATTATTTTTCAAAATGAGGATACAATTGTCATTATTTTAACGGCTTGGATGTCAATTGAAGGTTTAATCTCAAATTGTATCCTCAAAGATGATTCAAATTTTAATTTGTACCTTCAAAATTTAAAAATATCAATTTATACTCTAAAAGTTATAAATTTTTATCAATATGTACCAGGGATTAACTGTCATCTATTTTGTTGTTAAAAAAAGTTTGGGTTTATTGTAAATTGTACCTTTAAATTTAAATATTTTACATTATGATCAAAAAATAATTTCATCCATTAATACTCGTTATATTTCTTTCAATTTTGTTGTATCATATCATGTTCGTGTTGTGTCCTTTTTGTGTCATATTGTAATATTTTTGTGTCGTATTCAAGTTAATAAAAAAATATTTTTAACACAAATTTTTTTTTGTTGAGTTAATTGTATTGTGTCGTATATTTCACATTTACGACAATTCATATAACACTATATATTTTTTTTTAAATACTTTTTTTTCCCTACAACATTTATTAAATAGTTATTTTTTGTTTAACTTTAAACACGATATGACACAATTGAGAGCTATTTAACGAGCATTAATGAATGTAATTCTTTTTTGATTATAAATATGAAATATTTAAATTTCGAGGGTGTAAATTATAATTAGTCTAAATTTTTTTAACGACAAAATAGATGACAATTAACTCCAAGTGTACATTAAAAAAAATTTATATCTTTCATGATATAAATTAATATTTTTAAACTTTAAAAATATAAATTCAAATTCAAATAATCTTTCAGGGGCAAATTGAGATTAACACTTCATAAAAATCTATCCAAATGTTGGCTACTAAAAACCTCTTGTTCGGATTCGAATCTCACCACCAATACACCAACGAACTTAACAGTCAATCCACCGTCGAGAAATCTCAAGTCTTATCTAAACCAACGGTGGAGATCAGCCTCTGCAAATCACAATTACAGAAATGACCTCATCTCAAAGTACGGAAGCACATCTTTTACTTCCGCCAACGGTCTAGATCTGCCACGCTGCCGCCTCCTAATACGAAATGACTTTAATACCCTTGTTTTAACCAAACAAACGTCCTTATTGGCTCTACCTCAATATTAACGGAAAAATTAATTTAAAAATAACAAATATACATTTTAGCGAAGAGAAAAATTACAATTAGGCCCCCTATACTATGCTTTTCATTCACATTGCTCTCTAAATTATTGTTTTCTCACATCATTATACCTTAAATTATCGATTTGAATTTTATATAGTCCCATTTTTAACTTGTGTTCGAATTTTGATGTCACATTTGCTGACATTGCTTCAATGTTCCTAATTTTCACATTGCTCTTAAAATTATTTGCTTTGCCGATTACATTTTAAACTATTGATGTGAATTTTGTATTACCTCAATCTTTAACTTGTATCCAATTTTTTTTAATGGTAAAGTCTGATAAAATTAGGATTGAAAAATGTTTTTTTTTTCACAAAAAAATTTATCAATTTTTAGATTCAAATGATGTGACATCATTGAATAGTTAGTTAAATTTTGTAAGATCCACTAATTGTATAACTCATATTGATTTGGGATCAAATCTGCATAAAAATTTTAATTGATGTACCATTGTAGATTAAAATTTTTGTCTAATTGAGGGAAAAATATAACATCTTTTAAAATTGTAGATGTCTATTTTTGCTATAATTTGAGATAAAAAATTGGACAAAAACTAATTCATGGGTTCAAGTCTTCCTCCCTACCCCCCCAAATTAAATAAATAAAGTACAATGTGATAAAAATAATATAGTTTAAGGGTAAATGTGAGATGAACGATATAGTTTGAGAGGTCTAAACGTAATTTTCCCTTCAACATATATGCACGGAAAGAGTAACCTAAGTCTCTCTCTCTCTCTCTCTCGCAAGGGGTTTTCTGATACTCCTCGGCTCACGATCTTGAGTTTAAATCTTCAACACGAGCTTAGAGACTCCCTCCAAGAGGGAAGAACTTTCAGAAACCCTCGTTGCTTTCCAACTCCATCTCTCGTTTTCCAATTAATTTTCCTTTTTTCTACACCTACGCATGTATATTTTGAATTCTTTGAAGCTATAGACAGATTGGGGGATAAAGAATGATCGTTAGAACTTACGGTCGTCGGAATCGAAGCATGACAAGAAGCTACTCTGACTCAGCCTTTAACGACGACGTTTCAGATGGATTTGATGATTCTTTATCCCAAGAAAACCCGCAAGATGTTTATAATTTCGCATTCTCGTCTCAAGATTCAACTCGCTGGTCATTCGATTCAGAACCGTACGGCTCAGTTCCTTCGAGTTCGTCACAGGATTCGCGTCAATTGGATATTTTGCCATCAAGAAAGCCGGTGATTGGAGGGAATTTTGAGAATGGAGATGGGGTTTCCCGGAAACCGAAGAAGGCAAAAATTGAGAAGAGTAGGAAAAATGGGATTATCCCAAAAAAGTTGAAATCGAAGGAATTGGGACCAGTTTCAGTGACGCACACGGTAGCTACGGCGACTTTGATGGAGACTCAGGAGTTCGGAGAGATGATGGAGCATGAGGATGAGGTGAATTTTGCATTGGATGGATTGAGGAAAGGCCAGCCGGTGAGGATTCGGCGGGCGAGTTTGTTGTCGTTGTTATCAATATGCAGCACAACTCAACAGCGGCGGCTTTTGAGGACTCATGGGTATGTTTATTGTCAAGATTTCATATTAGTAGGGCTTGAATTTATGATTTAGTTTGGATCTTGTGATAAAGTTTACAATTTCATGAAGATCCATCTATGCTGTTGTTTCATATTGCGTAATAGTGTTGGGTTGGGTAAGTTTAAGATTCTGTATACATGGTGTTTGAACTTGGAATTGGATGATTCAATTTTTAGTTGTTGAACAGAACCTTTTATGGGATGAGAGACAGTTGAATATGATTAAGCTTGCTTTGGATGGAAATAATGGTTTGATTTTTTAGTATGGGAAAATATTTAATACCCTAAATGATTTGGTTAGCTTATGACAACCTAAAGGTTACGTGGAACTTTAAGTAATTTGTAGAAGTATTCTCCTGGACAGCTATGCACTGTGAATTGGTTGAGCTCCGTGATGGCCCTCTTATGGCATCTTTGCATCCATGAAAAATATCCATGATAGAATAAATCATACACCATTTTAAGCCCAGCTAGTGATCTTTTTGTACGTATATTTGAGTGAAGCTAATGTTGACAGGCAAGTAACAATGTAACATGGTGGATGTTACCAGGCAAGTAAACCTATGTGCAGTTACTCTCTCTAACAATCCTGGAAAAAAGTCTGATGTTATGAGATTATATCTTTTTGTCAAATGTTAAACGGGCAAATTTTTCAGCTTTTCTTATTGTCAGACCTCAAACTGTTGCCCAATGTTGACTAGTGCTGATTTTAACTTCCAAAGACCTTGTTTTCAGGATGGCAAAAACAATTATTGATGCTGTTTTGGGACTCAGCTTTGATGACTCACCTAGCAACCTGGCTGCTGCAGCTATCTTCTACTTTTTGACCAGTGAAGTAAGTTGTTTTCTTGTTGATAATCTGTTTTGGAGACACTAGTTTCTGTATGTTAAGCAACTTCACTTGGTAGCCGGTAAGTATTTGGTGTTCGCCAACTGCACACCCCTTCTTAAAAAGCTAATAATGTACATGATAATACATTGTTGGATTTGCCTTGCTATTCCAAATTCTTTGTAAGGACGACCAAAAATTTTGGAGATTCAAATTTTGCTGTAGATTCATTCCATTTCAGTCTTATGCCAACATTGTCTCATACCAACAACTGGGAATTATGCCCTTATTGTGCTTAATGAGAATAATAACCTTTGAGAGGGTCTTATTCTTGTTTTATAACAGAACCACTGATCATGAACTTCCACCTTATCTGTTGTTTCATTTTGGTTGTGTATCGTTAATATATTACATATTCATAATATATTAGAAGACTTAAGGTCCACAAACACACGATGCTTACGTAGATATGAAGAAATAAGGATGAGTCATTAGGACTGTCATCGTGTTGATATTCTTATGCATTATTGAAATTTTCCATATTTATGGTGGAGAGGCTAGGAAACAGGAATCTTCCTTTTTTCTTATATGAAAAAGAAAACCACTAGGAGCCTCTTCTTTGATCCTGGATACTTGAAATCCTAGGATTATATGTTTGATTATTTTAGTCTGTTTTTCTTTGTACTGACCACCATTTTGTGTGGAGTTCTCCCCAACACAAAAGCCTAAGGCATATGGCTAGACTTTACTGAATAAATGAACTTTGTTGTTCTATGCACAGTGGCTTTTCTTATCATATGACATGTAATAGATTCTGTTCAGATTCATGATATCACAAAAATGAATTGGCTTTCTACCTAGTTTTGTCATTTTATTTCTGACGAACTATAATTCTTATAGAAAGTCGGCATGTTATTGTAGACGGATGAAACCATGTATTAATCCTAATCTCTTGAGAATGGAGTTTTCTTTGGTGACATATGATCTAATTGTAGAAAGAATCTAAAGTTTTGGATCACTTTTATTTTATCTATATTCCTGCTTACTGATTAACAAGCAGATCAACAAAACAAATGACTATTATATTCACATCATCCAGTTCAAAATTTGTGTCTATATTTTACGATATTTTTGTATGGTTACTATGTGTATAAATGTAAGTGTGTGAAATTTTCTTTTCCCCTTCTTGTTTAGAGATACTTGTTCCTCTGGATGGGCTTACAATATATAGATATATTTCCTTCCTCTTCATTAAACTTTAACTTTTCAAATTTCAACATTTCAGGGTCAAGATGATTACCTTTTGGATTCACCCAGTTGCATCTGTTTCCTAATTAAATTGCTGAAACCACTCATCTCTCATTCTACTAAAAGTAAAGTACCGACCATCGGCTCTAAACTTCTAGCATTACGCATGGATGCTGATACCTTACAAGATGCAAATAAAGGAGTTGATTCCACATCTGCTGCGATTACACAAAAGGTTCAGGAAATTTTTGTCAATTGCAAGGAAATGAAGTCAAGATATAGAAATGAGAATGCGATAGAAATGCCCGAGTTGAGCCCAAAATGGATTGCTTTGTTGACAATGGAGAAAGCTTGCTTATCTACCATTTCTCTTGAAGGTTCATTTGACACCATCTCCTCCTGCTTTCTGTATACATCATGGTTTTCATTATTTAATGCTGCAAGCAATTATTAGATTACACAGGGACAACTGCTTTGGTTATGGGATGGCTATAAACTTCTAGCATTTAGAGTTATTAGATGTGTTTGATCAGAGGTCCATTTCCTTATTCCCTGGCTTATCAGAGTTTACGGTTTCCCAACTAGAGACAAAGTGTATTATTTCTTTTTAGATTGTTTTAGGTTGCTAGACTAGTTTTACACTTTTTCTCTTGTACAATATGTTGGTATCTAATCTGAGTACCTACTTCTTTTTACTCTTTCTGTATTTAGTGCTTTAAACAAACTCAACCGTATGCAACATTGAGAGTTACTGCAAATTGTCCTGCACTGCAATTGAACCTATCTAATCCCGGGTTGATCTAACCTAAATGTTCCTTTACATTAAGGGAAGCTAATGTCTGTTCTGGAATTTGTGGACCAGTATTGCATGACTTCTTCTCTAGTCAGTGCACTCTTATCGTTTTCTTGACTAGTTGGTTAATTTTGTGGGCTGCATCAGTATGGAGTTGTTACTTAAACAAAATTCTTGTTGTGCTAGTAGTTACAAGTGAAGCAGAGTGTCAAGTTATGTCTTGTAAAGATAATAAAAGTAGGCAGGGTGTCAAGTTATGTCTTGTAAAGATAATAAAAGTGGGCAGGGATCTTCTAGGCGTACCTCTATTGAAGAAGTACAATATTAATTCTTTTTTGTAAGATGGATTAGTAATTTAGTATTATTCATGAAGGTAGATAGACCACTTGGTGATTTTACCAGATTAGAATGCCTTTTATTTCCTTCATATACTTGTTCTATCATTCAATTGATTATTTTTTGGTTACTTTTTCCTGTTGCATTGCATTCATTAGATACCTCTGGCACTGTGCGGAAGACTGGGGGCAGCTTCAAGGAAAAATTACGAGAACACGGAGGACTTGAGGCGGTTTTTGATGTCGTTAGGAATTGTCATTCCACTATGGAGGTGTGAGCCTGTATGTTTGTTGGGTCGCATCATCTATTTTATTACATCAGAAGTGAAATAGCTTGCATGGACAATCTGAAATGAGAAATATGCATTATATGCTCATGAAGTCTTCCTTTGGCTAATAGAAACTGAAAATTGTGATCTAGTCTGATAATATATTGAAAGAAGCTTTTAAACACTGATATGGATGATCGTAGTTTGCACTGTAATTTATTTAATTGGACATTTTGCTTTGGAACGAATGATTAATCACATATCCATGTGTGTCCATTTGTATCTTAAAAGATTAACTGGTTTTGTTTTCCTTATTTTTTTGGGAGAAGATCCATTTTCCTTTATGATAAAAATTTATTTGCAGGGATGGTTACAACAAAGTTCATCTTCAGGTCGGGGGTCTAAAGATAATGTAGATCTAGAAAGCTTAGTGCTGCTTCTGAAATGTTTGAAAATCATGGAAAATGCCACATTCCTGAGTGTGGATAATCAGGTAAACAGGATAACTATGGTCTTTTGCATCTGAAAACACATGCACAAATGCCACTCCTTCCCCCTATTTTATTTCGTTGTTTTTTGGGGGCCGTGGATTGGTGTTGAATGGTAGTCTATAACTTCTGGTTATTCTCATGGCAGAGCCATTTGCTTGGTATGAAAAAAAACTTAAACTCTCAGCACTCCCCCCAATCTTTTACGGAACTCATTTTAAGTGTCATAAAGATTATCTCAGGTATGTAATACTGCTAGAAAGCACTTTCAGACTTCATTTGGTTTGGTCTCTTTTATTGAAAAATGATATCATGGCCACATGTAACTTTGCTTAATAAAATTTAGTCTGATGATTGGTGATGTTGTGTCCAGGTGTTTCCTTTCTCAAAAGTTCTTCAAGTAGTCTTGCTGATGTGAAGTTCTCCAATCTCTCTAATGGGACTGATTACGCTGCTGAATTTTCTTTATTGGCATACGACAAAGGTACATGCAATTTTTTAATATCAGTATAATGCATCTGCTACTGCTCTCTCTCTCTCTCTGTAAAAAAGATATGGGACACTGATACGTGATGTCGATAATAGCTTTCCATTGCTTATCCTAAAATGTCCCCTCCCCTCATCCCGCCCACACTGGGCAAAAATAACCCGCCAAAAAAGAGAAGGAACTTGAGGACTTGGCCATGAAATAAGCATTCAACATGAAGGTGTGCTTTCTGGACCTTGATTATGTGGTTGAAGCTATAATCATTTAAGGACCTTTGTGCATTATGTACATGATTTGCTATGTAAGCAATGACCATAATATGCCACATCCTTGATGATTAAAATCTAATTAAATAAGATTAGAGTCTAATTAAATAAAATTATGTTCTTCAGAGCATAGTAATAGCTTCCAGCTAGTAGAAATTGATGGGACTTCTTAATGGAATGCAGCGGTACTGAGTTTGAATACGTCATTCTTTCTGAATTTGCAGTGGACAGCAGTGAGGTCGTATCCATCAGTTCTGCTGTAAGGGGCTGTAGCATGGAGCAGACAGCCGCTTGTAAGAGCCTCAATTTATCTCATAACAGTAAATGGTTGTCTGCTGGTCAGTCGGGATATTCTAAAACCAGTTCCAAAACCACCTTATCTGTTGCTGACACTTGCTTGTTGAAGATGAGAGTCAATTGTTCTACTTCTGACTCATGCAGTGGACCATCAAGCACTTCCAATATTGGGAAACGTGTTGGTAAAAATGGTTCAAGGATGAAATTTGGTTTTGGTGAAGGACCCAAGGTTGACACCAAATTAGAACTTCTGGAGGACAGCCTGGATCCTTTCGCTTTTGATGAAGATGATTTTAGACCAACCAAGTGGGACATACTATCAGGGAGACAAATAGTGTCTCAAACGCAAAAAAGCAGGGCAGCAGGTGAAGGACATGAAGATGGGTTCCAATCTCTATTGATGTTGAGCCAACAAGAATCAAGCAACATGGAAAATCATCATTCTTGTGAAGCTTCTTGTTCATCTGCTCTTAGCAACGAAAAGTCCAACCTTCTGGCTGACTGCCTTCTTACTGCTGTTAAGGTAATCCACTTTACTTCTAGATTTGCAAAGTGTATCTGCTATCATTTGATGAACTTAATTTTCTTACTTGCATGGAATAAAGGGGGAGTGATTTATGGGCATTCAGGAGATATTTAGAGTAAACCATGAATTATTCTAGCTGCTACCTACAAAAGAGTTGTCCAAGGCCCAAAATGAAGCACGAGATTTGCAAAATTTTTGTCATCAATTTCTTATGTTCTTGTAGGTTTGTTCGTTTCTAATTTCCCGTCTAATGTAGTTCCTGGATGACTGAATTGTTTCATTTTCTTGAATGAGGGAAATATTAGATTTATCATTTCATCATCAGATTCTTTAATGTTGTGTCATGTTTATGCTTCATTTTTCTGTCCGTCCCATGGAGGGTAGTTGCTTGATTAAACTTTATCTAACTTTGGTTCTTATTTGTGCTGTGTAGAAACTCTTGATATTATATATAAGTGTTTGAAATTCACGCCAATTTCCTCATGGCAGGTTCTGATGAACTTAACAAATGACAACCCTGTGGGCTGTCAGCAAATTGCTGCCTGCGGGGGGCTAGAAACTATGTCTTCATTGATTGCTGGACATTTCCCATTGTTCAGTTCGTATTTCCCTCCCTCCAGTGAGCTAAGAGAAAATGGGCTGTCATCCCAGTCTAGTATCGAAGTTGAGCATCAGAATGACCGGCATCTAAATGATCAACAGTTAGATTTTCTTGTTGCCATTTTGGGATTGCTTGTAAACTTGGTTGAAAAGGATGGCTGCAACAGGTACTGCACGTGAAAGTATTACTTTCTCAAATTATCTGTCAGAAGTTGACTTATTTGCCAAATAAGACTGCAAATTTCCCCATGCACTCGAAAATTTTGAGAAAGTCCTGTAGAGGAGGACGTTTTTAGAGTAGGTTTAGATATAATATTGGAGTATATAAGAATGGATTTGAAAGCACGTAATTTAAACTCCCTAGAAAGGTAAAATCTACGGTTTGGACTAACCTTTGTACTTGTTATTCAAGCTCAAAAATCTCCGGTCCATTCTTATTTTTAAAGTAGGTTATGATTTTATCATCCTTGTTTCCTATCCAAAAAATATTATCATTCTTGTTAATCTAACTAAGACATATGATTGTAAAATTTAATTGCCCTGGAATTAATCGATATGAAAATAAAATTGTTGATACAAAAATACGAAAATTTTGCTTTTAATGTATAAAAAAATTGGAAAAAGGAAAGAGAATTAGAGGGTAGAAGCCCATACAAGCCTCTCTCACACACACACTCAAACAAAAACACAAAAGAGGCTTTTGAAACATTGGGAGCCCTCAGAGATTCTAAACTCTCAAATATACACTTATTTCAAGGGGACTTTATCGCTTATTTGGAGCCTTTAAATACCTTCTTAAAATTCTAAAGGGGTTAGAATCCTCCTTTATATTTGCCCAAACATGCTCTAAAGCCTCCCTAATAGCTTCATCCAAACAAACTTTAAGAAAATGAAAAAGTGATCAAAACCGAAGATAGGTATGTTATTTCCCTTTCTATACCATCCTTTTAAACACTTTTTTTTCTTTTCTGTTAACTATTAATACGTTCCAACTAAAGTTGGACTGAACTTAATTGCTTATCTTTGCTAATTTTGAGGTTTTAATACTTTCATCTTGTCTGCTTTAGTTTGTTGTGGAGACAAGTTTTAATCATGCTAGCCCTTCTCCACTTTAGTTACTTGCCAAAATAAATTTCTCCTCGTTAGGTTACAGTGAGCTGGATATACTGTAGAAATGCAATGATTTCGAAAGAGAAAATTCACTGGGAACTTTTTGATAAGTCCCTAGAAATAATCTACTATGTATGTCGATTTGACAGTTACAATGGTTTTTTTCCCCAAAACTTATGTTACAGTAGTTTTCTAGCCTATTGATGAAAAGAATCAAAAGTTAGTTTAGAATTTTAAGTAGAACAAAATAACCCAGGAAGGGGAAAGGAGGATAGGGGTGAGCACGGGATTTGAGTGTCTCATCTTTTGACATCATCATACACTTAGAACTGATAAGAGTCGTATGACATAAGGATTTCTTAGTTTAGATCTGGTGGGGTTGCAGTGGTTCTGCCTAATCCACCTTGATTTTGTCCAAGAAGTGTATATATATTGTCTTGCCAAAAAATGGACTTCCAAGCTGTTGCTGTTGGAAGCCAATTATACCTGCCACCTACTTATTTGATTAGTGTTTGTTTGCGATTTGGTGTATCTTTCAAAGGGGATGTTCTTTATTATTTATTGTTTGCAAATGTAAACTCCACATACGAGAATTCCATTTTAATCTTTGAGTGGACAATCTTTGCTTATGATGACCAGGGAAAGTTCATATAGTAAATTGGACTGAATGTTTTGTATTTTAATTGCAGATCGCGGCTTGCAGCTGCCCGTGTCTCATTTCCCGCCTGTGAAGGGTTGGAGGAGGAGGGTCGTAGGGATGTAATTCCACTACTGTGCTCCATCTTTTTGGTAAACCAGGGGGCAGGTGAGGCAGCTGGAGAGGGAAAACAAGTAACCTGGGTGAGTAAATTGGTCTGTCCACTATGAAGTTGTAGCATTATTATACTTTATTTCTTTGTGATGTAGATCGTTGTAGCTCTGATACCAATTGATGTAGGTCAAAAATAAGGTATATGGGGATGAGAAGAGAAGAGAAGAGAAGAAGAAGGAAATGAGAAACAGAAATCAAGAGAAACAATTCTCAAAATTATTTAATAATCAAATTTTGTCTCAAACAAGCACCTTACCCTGTCTATAGGAAATACAAAACCCTAAAAATAATACATAATCAAAATGATAAATAAGGCCTTAAAAATTAAAAGAAAATACTAAGAAGATAAATACTAAATAATCTCCAAATAACTCTCATAATAAATCTATAATATCTAACCAACTCCAACACGATCCCCAATCACTTTGTCTACAAGAAATGTTGTGGTCTGGTTGCTGATATTCTGAGGAAAGGAAAATGGAAAGGAAATTCTTAGCTTTGCTCCCCTGAAAAGGGGGATATCACCCTGGTCTCTTCGTTTATCATTGTCTTGAGAATTAAGCTGCAGAAAAATGTAAAAATGTTTCCCCCAAAACTTAGTTGTTATAAGTTGTCTTTAAGACATTTCATTTTAAGAATGGATTTAATGATGAAATTTGAATTGATGTCAGTAATGGTCTAAAAGGACATAGGATAATAGTTGGTTAGAAATAGAATCTGAATTTAGACTACTTTGAAGAAAGGCAGGAACAACTTTGTTTTTTTTTGTTTTTTTGGGTAAGTAGCAGGCACAAAAATCTGATTTTTCATTTTCTCCTAATCCAAACTGTGCTGCATTGTGCAGGACGACGAGGACTCTGTGTTACAGGGGGAGAAAGAAGCTGAGAAAATGATTGTAGAAGCTTATGCAGCTCTCCTTCTTGCCTTCCTTTCAACTGAAAGGTTTGTATACCTCTTTGAGACCTCCATTATCTGCCATTATTGTTTCTCAGTATGTTTCTTCAATTAATTGTCTGTGGTTGACTAGCAGTAAGAGCATTCGTAATGATATTGCTGAATGTCTTCCGGATAACAACATGGCGATTCTTGTACCTGTGTTAGAGAGATTCGTGGTACGTAAATTTGGTGTAATTTTTCAGTTGATAAAGCATGGAAGATGCTAAGATAGTCTGCCCCCATCTTTTTCCGTGTCGATTTATCATTTCATCATGAGACCAACTATTGTCTGCCCAGTTTTCCAGTCAAATGTGTTAAAATAAAACAATAGTGGTGCACTTATTCTTTTGGCATTCACCAAGGAGCCTGCAACTTAGTGCAGTGGCCTTGCTTTATTTCGTAAATCATAGGAACACCCTATGTACTGTCTGCGCTGCAGTTGGTGGCTGATCATCTGGAGAGGAGCCACATATAGTAACATCGTGTAAACTTAAAAGGCCTTACACTCGTTCTGCATTATATCCTGTGGACAAAGACTACCTGTTGATTTAAAAGTACGTCATATCAATCCTCGTGTGGATGGCTAGGTTTTTCATGAATGCTAACCATATAACAAAATTCGTGTGACCAACTAATTGATTTGATCTGGGAGATGTTTGTTGATTGGAGGGGTTGACATTGAAACAACCCATTAATTGGCTTATATGGTGGCAATGTATATGAATCCTTCTCTAATAACTGTTTTTCCTTCAGGAATTTCATTTGGCACTAAACATGATCTCACCGGAGACTCACACGACAGTGCTTGAAGTAATTGAATCATGTAGGATGCCTTGAGAGTTCAAGATGATCGACAATATGTACAGCTTCAACCTTCATTTGAACCCATCATGCGTGACTTGATGCCATATTTGGTAGTATTGCTGCAGAAACTGTCAAACCAACGATGGGTCTGTGTTATAGTCGGTTTGACCCCCTCCCCCTTCCTTTTTTTCTTTTGTAATTTTTGGTCTCTTCCTTTTGAATTATTTTTGCAGCCTTTCACCAGGGTGAGATGCTTAGATAACAACTAATACAGCAAAATGTAGTCAAAATTTTCTGTGCACATTCACTGTAATTTGTAATTGTAGTTTTGTTATAGTGGTTACCTGTTGCTCGTTGCTTGTCTTGTGCATTGATACAATTTATGCAAGGATGAAAAATTCGTTTCGATGAATTGTTTAAGTCATCTAAGAAACAAAAACGTTTCGAAAATATATAATGGAATTGAATAAAAAAAATTGAGGATTTGTTACCAAAATATTCATGAAACATTGGTCAAAAAGTATATCAAAAACATTTCAAAACATGTTGAAACAATGGTGGAAACGTGCTAAAACATTTGGAAGCATTGGATTTTTAGATTTTATCGCTGATTTGTTTTGGTCTTTTTAAAAATAGAAACAAAAATATTTTGACCATTTCAAAACAAAAATTTGATTTTTGATTCTATGATACTATGGGAATGAAAGAAGGGGTCCAAAGAAATGCCGGGAGACAATGTTGGTAGCAAGTAAACCCTGTGTATGTAATACATTTTCAGGGAATTGATAGCATACTTCAGGGAATTTATAGCATGAGAGAAAATGGAGCCCCGCGTGTCGGTCACGCTATAAATGGTCATATGAACTTGATTTTCGTGGGGCTACTAAGAACAACCCAATTATCATAGTTACAGTCTGCTCTTACTTAGGTGAGATAATTATCAGAATTCATTAAACTTTGACAATTCAGTATCTAGGTATATCGATCTCTAACGGGGTGAGTTCATCGTTTAAATCACCAAACTGTAAGACTTCTCTAAATCAATTATCTACCAACTAAATCTATCCCTATCGTACCATATACTTAGAGAAAGTGTGGTACTGTGTACCTATACCATATACCAAAATAACTCACTATCTAGGTAACATTCCCTCCAAAAATATTTTAAAATGTTATCAAACAGTACATGAAGTATCTCTGGCAGTGGCATACACTACTAAATAGACTTAAAATTTTACAGTTCTATCACATGAAAACCCATCAAATTCCTTAAATTACATACCACACACAAAAAGAAACTACCTAGTAAGCTTTTCCTCAACAATGTATGCCCAACATATATATCAAATATGAATCTAAAGCGTCTTTATTACACTTTTCACTCAGTTTTGCTCAATAGTATATCACCTCATAAATTGAGACTTACTATTTATAAGAGGGTACAAAGCAGTTTCGAGCATAGTTATCGATACTAATACGTGATACATAAAAAACACGACATGAATCGTATTTTTGTATCATTTTTGCATCGTCTTGTACGATACAAGATACAATACATATTCGTCCAATACAAGCAGAATATTACAATAGGATACGTCCGATAACGAAACTTTGGAGTACACAGTTTTTTCCAATCACTCTTATAACAAAGACGAACCTTTCATAAAGATAAACCTCTATTGAAAGCTTGTTCATCAACTATGGTTATTGAGAAAGGACAGTATAAGCTGATTAACCTGGTCTGGGAATTGCTCTTGAATGAAATGGGTTCCTTCAGGCACCAGTATTATCTCCAATTTGGGAACATACACTTTCACCTTTCCATTCACTATGTAGTCCTCCATTCCAGGAAATTTGAAGACATAATCCTTCTCACCCATGATGAACAGTGCTGGAGCTTCAACTTTTGGATCTGGTATGTTCAACAGTTCACTAAATGACCTGCAATAGAATCAATAATTCTAATTTAATCTATAGGGTCCAAATTTAACCTAGAGATAATTTAATTTGGTATTTTACTTTAGTTTGTTATTTTCATGATCATGGCCAGGGATACATCAAAAGAACATCTACGGCCCAATATCATTAGGAGTTATGGTACCCAAAAAAACTTTTTTGTGCCATAGTGCTACCCGAATATGTATTTCATTTGCTAGAAAGTATCCAATTATTTTTCAGTTAGCCAAATATCTGCAAAACTAGCAATGGACAATGTGGAATGGGTGAACATCTAACTACATGCTCTCCCTGTATTGGGTAAAATAATGGTCGCAAATGATGCGAAAAACATGGTTCAAGATCACAGAAGTAGCTACTGACTCGATGGATATTGAGATGTATTAGTCACAACGTATCAGTACTATCAGATGATACACATGAAATGCTAGATAGAAGGAGTTAGACATTACAAGAATGATATATCGTCCTGCCACAGGACAATATTGCGGTGTCATGTACCGATGATTCGGATGAGTCATCCGAGAAGTCTACGAGTTAACCATGTATTGACTGAGACTTGTGGGTAACTGGAAATCGATATCGGACTCGGAGTGGAAGGTGCCGAGTCGGAAATAACTGGTCTAGATGTATTGGCATTGACTGATTCTTTGAAACGTCGGCAAACAGGCAGTTGGCAGTTGTTAGAGAAGGATTGCCAAGGATGACAAGTTGTAGAGGGAAAAGCACTTGTTAGCTCAGCTCAGAAAAAAGTAGCATTAGCCTCAATACCTGTAAGGAACTTGCAAGGCAGTTTGGAATCCGGATTTCTCATATAAAGCTCCATAGGCTGTAAGATCTTCCTCTGTGAACCAAGGGGGTAGAGAATGAGATGGTTCCACCAAATCCATGATCTCTTGGTTTTCCTGTGCTATTGGTATTTCACATTTGGAGAACATGATATAGATGTTGCGCACAACCGTCTTTGAATCAAAACGACCAAAATCAGATTCAGCTCGTCCAGGTTCCTGAGAAAAAAAAATCATGAACATGAATTCAGAATTGGCTAAAATTGGAACGACACAGAAAAAAATAGCATGGTCCTTGTGCAGGCCTTACACGCACACAAATCGGGAAATGGAACCGGCTACAATTGATTCTTCTAAACAAGCAAACAGAGAAATATGAACCTTCCATCTTGAAATATAGAAGCCTTCGGGGAGTTCTTCATGATATGCAAGAGGTTGTGGGGGCATGAATGGCACACCCATTGTTACGACTCCTGAGACCCTTTCTGGGTGGAGAAGAGCAAATCCGTATGCAACCAGAGCTCCAAAGTCTTTAGCAATGAGAAACACCTGGATATATACATGAGACAGAGAGACAGTACAATGCAATCATTGATTCAAACTCATAACAGATCATCCATATAAACAACCACTATTCATGAATGTATGTACAACGAAAATTTTCATCTAAAAAAATTGTAGACAAGTTAGGCCTCTCTGCTTTCTTTTTATGTGATTGGATCCAAAAATAGCTTGGAAATCCATAACATATCGGTGGACTATTTCAACAACAAAGACGCTGACATTAAAAGCTTGAATGGAAGTTGATTGATTGTTGACCAATTTTTCCCTTATCTCTCGTGCAACTGTGATTATGTCATTGTATCGATGAACTGTAACCAGGGAAATTCAGATAGTATTTTCGGGAATTTTCTATATAAATTGTGTAGTATGAAAGCATGCTGAAGGACCTTAACATCTGTACAACAGGCCACCCACCTTGAGAAAAATGAAGTTATAGAACCAAAAGATATAACATTGTAGAGCTAAATAGTTCACTAAAGTCTACTTTAAAAAAATTGCAGAATGGTGACAATTTTTACATTGGCCGTACAACCTCATGGACAAAAATAAGTCAAATAAAGGTTTACTTAAACTTTCAAAAGATTAGTCATGCAGAATGTTGATTAATAATGCTACAAAAGTCAATATGCACACTGCTACACATACCCCTTCAAAGTTTACTGTTACATGTTGAAAAAAAATTCCCATGTTAAGAGGACACTTGAAATTGGGTTTGTGATGAAACTTCAATGAATGTGTATGACATGAGACAACAATTTTTTACTCACAAGGAATCTTAATTATGTTACGCACATTGTTTTTTCTCCCTCCCTTACTCAGAGGGATTTCGAAAACAACATGAAAGACAATCTCTTTAAGAAGATTAAGTTCATCGCTTGTTTTAGAAGCAATGGAAGGAATAGAATCAGTCAATTCTCCCTAAATGCTATCAATAAACCAGGTGTTCAACTGGTATTGGGTTGGCTATAACCATGGATACCTCCCCTAGGATAGCTGACTACGGGTTTTAATCAATAGGAAATGGTCAATTGAGGTTTAAGATTTCAATATCATTAAGCAAAACAAATTACATTAAACAAAAATAATTGAGACCTGTATGCCCACATCAATTCTCATATGCAATTCTCAACCTCAAAAAAGCCACAGACTAATTGTGATCAGCTGTGCCTATCACATATTTCTTACACTTAGAATTACACATTGGACGCGTCATATGTAGTTCAACAACACCAAAAAACAACCCCAATTGATGAGTTATAATCCTAAACATTCTAAATTCGAATCTTAGTAATTTTTTGGACTAGATCATAAGAAATTTATTTTTCATGCATACCTTAGACCCAACATGTAAGGGTGTTAATCACGAGCTTGACGAGCTTATTTTTCTAAAAAAATCTAAAAATTTGTTCAAGCTCTACTCGTTTAAAACTTGAGCCAAGCTTGAGCCAAATTCGACTTGAGCCCGAGCTTGAACCTGAGCCAAATCCGAGCTGAGCTTGAGTAACTCGACTATTTTATATATAAACAAGCCAAACTTGGTGGGCTTGATCAAAATAATAAGCTTAAAAAATTATTCAAACTCTCACCTCGTTTAAAACACGAGTCAGGCTCGAGCTTTGTTTTATTTTAGTCAAATTCGAGCGGAGCACCAATAGCTCATCTTGATTATTGTCGAACCCAAACCAATCACGAATAACTCATATCGATTAATGCCCCAAACTACCGGCATGGATTGCGTGCCTTTGACGGGATCGGGATTAGTCCAGACCGGGATTAGTTGGGTATGCAAAAGTTAACCCCGACACTCCTGACGTTGAACAAAAAAAACAGCACCAAAAGCCAAACCACACTCCTGGAGGCGTGCCCAAGCCACAAACATGCCACTTAATCATACTAGCATTTTCTTCTAAAATTCTGCATCCTATTTCTTCGTTCCATTTTACATCTTACTCAAATCTGCAAATCTGTTGTTCTCTGAAAATATAAATGTCAAAGTAGCTGTGATAATTCTTTCTATTCTTCAATCAATTTCACAAGAATTCTTCCAATGCAAAAGGCATTACCATAATCCACAAAAAGATTAGAGAGAGAGAGAGAGAGAATTTTGAAGTATACCTTTGAAAGACTGAGACGATCCAGAATTGCTAGGAGATCAGTAAAGAGGTCAGAGAACTTGGCCTTTTCAGGTTCCGGGGGTGGGTCGGAGAGTCCGTACCCTCTGTAATCAGGTGCGATGGCTCTGAAGCCGGCGTGGGCGACGGCTATCATCTGGTGACGCCAAGAGTACCATATCTCAGGAAACCCATGAAGGAACACCACCACCGACGACGACCCAGTTCCAATCTCAGCTACGTGAAGCTTCAGACCATTCACTTCTATGTACTTGTGCTCAATTTGGTCCATTTCAAGCTTTGAAGAGAGAAGATGGGGAGTTCTCACTCTCAGAGTTGCTATTTTACATCAACTTTAGAGAGAGAGTAAGAGATTCTTCAATGATTTTTGTGGGGTCTTCCAACTTTCTACCGTCTAATTGGGACGGTTGGTCAGAATGTGTCGGTAATGTTTTTATTTTTAATTTTTTTTAAAAAAAAATAAAATTATTTTTAAAATTTTTATAATAAAAAATAAAAATATAAAATATGTTTGATAGTGTTTTATATTTAAAAAATTACAAAAAAAAAAAAAATATGTTTGTTATTATAGTAAAAATCCACCACTCAACACAACTAAAACCACCACCACCACCACCACCACCAATCACCCAACACCCAACCACCAAACCCTCTGGCAAATTTGGCCACCACCAACCACCTAACACCACCCAACGCCCATCCACCAAAGTTGGGTGTGTGTTTTGTTTTTAAATATTTTCAAAAATATTATTTTTGATATTTCTATATTTTGTCTTAATTTTTAAAACGTAACAGTAAAAAATAATTAAAAATATTCACCAAACGTAATTTTAATTTTTCAAAAAATTAAAAAAAATGGTGATTAAACAAGTCCATAATGTTTCTCTTTACTTGTCGGTATTACAAGCTAATATAAATAACTAAGAATAACCTCGTACTTACAAAACGTTATATAATATTAAAAATTAAGTATTAATTAATCAAATTTTATATTTTAAATAATAATTTATTTTTTATTATATAATTTAAATTAAAGTGAACCAAAAAAAAATATGAGAGAGAAAAGAGAAAGATAGATTTACGTTAATGAGATTGTTCGGTATTAAAGAACCCATTGGTTGAATTGATGTTGACCCTTCCTCTGGAACAACTGGTTCAAACTGAAGAGACTTTTTCTGATGAAGATTTTGAGAAGACTTGATCCTGAGAACATTGGGAATGCTTTGTTATTAGCTGTGTATAATTTAGGGTTTTGAATTTGGTTGTATTTCATAGTCATAGTTTTCGAGTATCTGTTAGACAAGCCTTGTATAAAAATTTAAGGCAGTGTACTCACTCTGTGATATGAAAAACATAGAGCAAGAGTTCACATAATCCTTAATTTCTTTATTTTACATGGTATTAGCTCGATAAGTGATCAACCCGAACCTGCCCTCAACCTCAACTTGAGTATTGTCTGCTTAGGCTCAAGTTGAACTTAGGTTGAGCCCAAGTTATTAAATCAAAATCAATTTTTGGGTTGCATTTGAGTTCTTAAATGTTGATAGCTTTAATTTTTTATTAAACTCACATAACCTCAATAAAAATCAAGCCCATTAAAGACACAAGCACATGGAGTTTGCCTTCTTTATTTACGGGAGGAGGGAGATACATTTTTTGTTTGTAACCAATGTGAGATTTTAACTTATAGATGTTATTTTATTCTTTATTCAACGTCACACATCGATTTAACAAGAGAGTTTGTACTCTGTCTAGTTCTATAAAAACTTCTTGATGACAGGTTGAACCCGAAGTATTAACCTAGAGATGTTAATCGAGCTGAACTTTGTGAATTTGAGTCAAGCCAGGTGACCTTGTTTTTCTAAACGAGCTTAAAAAATTGTTCAAGTTCGCTTTGTTTCAAACTCGAGCTGAACCTGAGCCCAAGTTGAGCTCGAGCGAGCCAAGTTTTACAAGATTGAACCAAGCCTTTTAGGCTTATTTTTTTAAACGAGTCTAAAAAATTGTTCAAGCTTAACTCATTTATAATACGAGCTCGACCTTGAGCCGAGTTTTATCGGAGCTGAACCCGAGCCGAGCCTGAGTAACTCGTTTCGATTAACACCCCTACCTCAACTTGAGCCCAATCCAAATTTAAGTCCAACCTAAGTTTTAAAACACTCAATGTAAATATTATTTTTTCAGTCTGATTTCGGGTTAACCAACCCAAATAAAGTTGGAGTTCGCTTGCCGCTTTCTATCTGTCTAAGTAGGTTGAACGAAGCCGTTAAAAGAGCATTTGGAAAGAGCACCAAGGATGAGGAAGAAGAAATTGGACAAAGACAATTTGAAAAATCTTATCTAGGGGCTAATTAGCAGTGACCAAGACCCGTCAAGCAAACAAGCCCAGTTGAACAAAGAAAAATAGGCTTGTCAAGAAGACAAGCTTCACGCTTAAGCTCAAGCTCAAGTTGTTAGAAATAGTTAGTAATGCAAGATAATTAGTAATGTAAGATATCCCACATTGAAAGAGTTGAAAGGGAGTGTAAGAGTTTAAAAAAAGAAACACACCAAATTTTATAAATTTGGATGGTGGGAATATTTGAAGGGAAGCTCCAAAAATTTTAAATCAATGAGTCTTGATTAGACTTTAAATAAAATAATATTTAAAGTCAAAAGATGGGCACTTGGGGCATCTTGAGCTTCAACTCTATAAACAATTAATTACTTTTGTATTAATTAATGTCTCTTGACCCAAGAGTTGTATCTACTCTTTACATCTTTTTGGCCCAAGAGTTATGTCTTCTCTTTATATCTTTTTGGTCCAAGAGTTGTGTCTCCATTTTACATCTTTAAGGTATTATAAATACATGTATGGATCATTCAATACATAAATATATAAAAAACGTTTCTCTATTATGTTCTTGGGTGAATTTTAGAGTTTGCTATCTAAAATTTTGTTTGACTTTGTTAATCTTAGAGGAATTTACCATAAACTCAGTAGCAACATATTGGAGGCATAATTTTCTTAAGGAGAATGAATACACAATCAAAGCCTTCTAATCTATTGAAGTTATTTTACTAACAATCTTAAGGAAATTAATCAACAATGGAGGCTCCTGGTTCGGTTATTGGTTCGAATTATGTTTTCAAGTTCAATCCCGAAGTGTTCAAGTTGGATCGTTTTGATGGAACGAACTTCACACGCTGGAAGGATAAATTATTTTTCATGCTTACTGAATTGGGTGTTGCGTATCTGTTAAGTGAAAATCTGCCAACTATTCCTAAACCATCAGACAAAAAGGATGAAGAAACTATAGCAACCCGCAAGAAACACATGGAGGATAAAGTTCGCTGCAGAGGCTATATTCTGAATTCACTGTCTAATCGATTGTACGATCTATTTCGTTCAATCAAATTCCTACAAGAAATCTGGAGTGCCCTGGAGAAGAAATATACATTTGTCAAGCAAGGTACGAACAAATTTTTCAGTATGAAATTTTTTGAATTCAAAATGTTTGATAATAAATCTGTCACGAAACAAGTAGATGAATTGCTTGTCCTAGTATCTAGACTCAAGGATTTTAAAATAGAAGTGTCTGAACAACTTCAAGTGGCTGCGATAATTGCAAAATTGCCTACTACTTGGAACGATTATCGAAAGAAATTGTTACACTCTTCTGAAGATTTTACCATAGACCAACTTATGAAGCATATCTGAATAGAAGAAGAAAATCGCAGTCATGAGAATAAAAATGCTTCAGAGTTTGGTTCTAAAGTAAACAATATTGAGTCTAATACGAAGAAATCAACAAAGATTGATAATACTTCTGAAAATAAAAGGAAGTATGTTGAATCTTCAAGTAATAATTTTGCCAAATTTAAGAAGAACAAGACATGTTTTTTCTGTGACAAGAATGACCATTTCAAGAAAGAGTGCAAGTTTTATAAGAGATTGAAGACAGAGGTAAACGTTGGACAAAAGAAGGCCAATATTGTTGAATGTCCTCCAAGTCCTTCTGAAATTATAGTCATGGTTGTTGAACCAAAAATCAGCATGATTACAGAATGCAACATGACAACAATTGACAAGACTGCAAATTAGTGGTATGATTCTGGTGCTACAGTGCATGTTTGTAATGACAAAAATTTGTTCAAGGACTATGAAGTTGCATCAAAGGATAAAAGTGTTCTAATGGGGAATCATGATACTACCAAGGTGCATGGAAAAGGGACTGTTGAACTGCAGTTTACCTCTGGAAAGAAACTGATCTTATTGAATGTATTTTATGTTCCTGATGTGAGAAAGAATTTGATATCTGCAAGTTTGCTGTGCAAGAAGGGCTTGAAGGCTGTCTTAGAGGCAGAAAAAAATTATATTTTCTAAGAATGATGTCTTTGTTGGACAAGGGTATTCATGTGATGACATGTTTAAGTTGAGCATTAATAAAGTTGATGTTTCTGTTTATATTCTTAAGTCTCATTTTAATTTATGGCATGCTCGTTTATCACATGTTAATTATGGATTAATTAGGTATATGTTTAGGCATGGTTTAATTCCATGTACAAATGAAATTTTTGGAAAATGTGAAATATGTATACAAGCAAAAATGATTCCGAAACCTTTTCCAAAGAATGAAAGAACAACTGAAACACTTGAACTTGTGCATTCTGATATATGTGAATTAAATGGTCATTTAACTAGAGGAGGAAATAGATATTTTATTACTTTCATTAATGATCATTCAAGGTTTACTCATGTTTATTTAATGAGAACTAAAGATCAAGCATTTGACATGTTTAAATGTTATAAAACTTTGGTTGAAAATCAATTGGAAAAGAAAATTAAAATCCTACGAAGTGATAGAAGAGGTGAATGTTTTTCAATTGAATTTACTATTTTTTGTGAAGAAAATGGTTTGATTCATCAAACGAGTGCACCTTACACTCTACAACAAAATAGTTTGACAAAAAGAAAGAATAGAACATTGGTAGATATGATTAATGTTATGCTTATGCATGCTAAACTACAAACAAGTTTATGGGGAGAAGCTCTATTAACAGCTTGTCATGTGCATAATAGAATACCCTCAAAGAAAACAAAAACTTCTCCATATGAAATATGGAAAGGAAGAAGACTAAACTTAAGCTATTTGAGAGTATGAGGTTGTATAGCCTATTATAGAGTTCCAGTTCCTAAAAGAACCAAATTAGGACCTAGAGCTCTTAAGAGTGTCTTTGTGGGTTATGTTGAAAATTCAAAAGCATATAGATTGATGGATATAGACTCGAATGCTATCATAGAGTCTAGAGACGTTAAATTTTTAGAAACAAGTTTTCTTGAAAATTCAAATGTCAATCAACAATTGAATAGAGAAAATGTTGAACCTCTAATTACAAAAGACATTAATATGGATCAAAATTCTTTAAATAATAAACAAAAACAAGTTGAATCTCTTAGTGAACCTAGGAGAAGTCAAAGGTTAAGAAAAGAGAAGAACTTGGATTCTGATTTTATTTCTTCACAAGCAATAGTCTTCTTGGTTGAAGGAAATAGAGATGAGATTTTAAATAAAATACTCATTGTTATGCATTCAAAAGAAGATCCTAAAATTTATAGTGATGCAATGACATCAAGAGATTCCAATTTTTGGAAGGAAGCAATAAATGATGAAGTGGATTCACGTCTATCAAATGGAACATGAGTATTGGTTGACTTACCACCTAGTTGCAAACCAATTGGATGTAAATGAGTGTTCAGGAGAAAATATAATACTGATGGTTTTTTACAAACCTTCAAAGCAAGACTAGTGGCAACATGTTTTAGACAAAAAGAAGGAGTTGATTATTTTGACACATATGCTCCCATAGCAAGAATTACGTTAATAAGAGTGGTGTTTGTTTTAGAATCAATATATGATTTATACATCCATCAAATGGATGTAAAAATAACATTCTTAAATGATGATCTTGATGAGGAAGTATATATGGAACAACCTGAAAGATTTGTACTTCCTAGTAATGAAAAGAAAGTTTACAAATTGGTGAAATCCTTGTATGGATTAAAACAAGCTCCTAAACAGTAGCATGAGAAACTCGATAGTGTCATTATCTCATGGTTTTAACCATAATAGAGCAGATAGATGCGTTTACTCCAAGTTTACTAAAAACTATGATGTAATAGTTTGTCTCTATGTTGATGACATGTTAATCATAAGAACTAATTTGTAAGGAGTAAATGATACTAAGAGATACTTGACTTCTCAATTTAAAATGAAAGATTTGGGAGAAGTCGATACTATCTTAGGGATTAAAGTTAAGAAACATATTGAGATTTTTGCTTTGTGCCAATCTCATTACATTGATAAGATTCTCTCCAAGTTTAACCACTTGGGAATTAAAGAAGCTAATACCCTATTTGATGTTTCCAACAAATTGATAGAAAAATCGGATAGATCCATTAGTCAATTAGACTATGCAAGTGCAATTGGTAGTTTAATATATAGACCTGATATTGCCTTTTCTATATGCAAACTTTCAAGATATACAAGTAATCCTAGTACCGAACATTGGAGGGCTATTGAAAGAATTTTCGGTTATCTTAAAAGGACAAAGTCATTTGCCTTGTTTTATAACAAATTCCCTTTGGTATTAGAAGGTTATACTGATGCTAGTTGGATAACTAGTATCAATGATAACAAATCAGCGTCTAGTTGGATTTTCACTTTACGTGGAGGAGTTATATCATGGGCTTCTAAGAAACATATACGTATTACTCATTTCACAATGGAATCTGAATTTATTGCGTTAGCAGTATGTAAAGAGGCAGAATGACTGAGAAATTTATTGTTGGATATAAAGTTGTGGCCACAACCAATGTCAGCAATCTCTTTGCACTATGATAGTCAAGCAATTATGTCTAGGGCTTTTAGCAAGATTTATAATGGTAAATCTATACATATTGCTTTAAGACATGAATATGTTAGACAACTACTTTCTGATCGTATAATCACAGTTGTCTATGTCAGGTCTGGTAAAAACATGACTGATCTATTAATTAAAGGACTCTCGAGAGATATGATTAAAAACACTACGAGTGCAATGAGTCTTAAACTATTCTAAATTTGTCACTAATAATGGAAACCTTACCTTTTTTGTTGCTTAGTAATTTTAAAGGTTTCAGTGGTAATAACAAGTTATTAGTGATTGTTAGCAATCACAAAGTTTTATATATAGTGCTTATGGAAAGGAGGTTGAATATTAATTATTCTTAATGAAGACTTTGTTTTCGGTTTTTGAACAAAAAAATTCAAAATTTTGAAATTTTAACAACTCTTCACCTATGTAAACACAAGAAGTGGTGTCGTTTCTATCAAGAGTTTGAAAATAAAACTTTTGTAAGTGTTCATGAAACTAGAAGGTAGCACAAAACCATAATATGGTTCTAAAGCTCACGATGAAATCAAGATTTAATAAATTTAAATAACCATTGATTTTGACAAGGTTTTAAAATGTTTATACTAATAACGGTTTTAAGTTGAAATACACCTTCTATATGCATAAACTTTAGTTGATTTTGATTACTTACATTACTATCTAAGTGGGGGATTGTTAGAAATAGTTAGCAATGTAAGATAATTAGTAATGTAAGGTATCTCACATTGAAAAAATTGAAAGGGAGTATAAAAGTTTAAAAGGAGAAACACACCAAATTCAGTAAATTTGGATGGTGGGAAGATTTGGAGGGAAGTTCCAAATATTTTAATTCAATGGGCTTTGATTAGACTTTAAATAAAATAATATTTAAAGTCAAAAAATGGGCACTTGGGGCATCTTGGGCTTGAACTTTATAAACAATTAATTATTTTTGTATTAATTAATGTTTTTTGACCCAAGAGTTATGTCTCCTTTTTACATCTTTTTGACCCAAAAGTTGTGTCTCCTCTTTACATCTATTTGACCTAAGAGTTGTGTCTCTCTTTTACATCTCTAAGATATTATAAATATCTGTACAGATCTTTCAATACAGAAATATACAAAAAAATGTTTCTCTATTCTGTTCTTGGAAGAATTTTAGAGTTTGCTATCTAAAATTCTGTTTGACTTTGTTAATCTTAGAGGAATTTGCCATAAACACAGCAGCAACATAGTGGGAACATAATTTCCTTAAAGAGAGTGAATACATAATCAAAACCTTCTAATCTGTTGAAGTTATTTTGCTAACACAAGTTGTATCTCCTTCATTCCCAACCCTACCCTTTTAGCTCTTAGGTAAGTAAGCTCCTTGCACTTTCTCTGGACAGGTTCAGATCACTTATAATACATGGCTTTACCAAGGGGTTGGGTTAAGAGCATTTTCAATAGAATTCTTTTCCTGTATTTATTCGATGATAAATCTGAGATGAGAAAGGAACCCATCTTTTTGACTGGAAAATGCGAGTCTGTTTTGTCCATTTTCTCCATCCCCCTCTATAAAAATGATCAAAAAGGAAGGCGAACTTACTTCTTATTTCTGTGTCGGATCTCTTCCATCTTTGCCTTGCTCGTTGTCACCTATGTTGATGAAAGGTTTGGAAACCTGTGTAGAGAATGAAGAGAGGCCAAGGGTCTTCCTTTCAATAGTGCTTCTCGAGACTCTACTTTGAATAAGAAAGGCCCCCTTAGCTCTACCAGGCACTGGACAGGGGTTAGCTCTGCCAGTATGATTTTCGGTCGAACATATTTTTTCCAGCGCCGCTAATACGAAATATAGCATGAGCAATACAAATTTCCGGTCGCCATAGCTATGGCCAGCCATCACAGTAGATTAGACGCACTCTCTTCCAGTATGCATTTGTGATCCAAAAAGCAAAGAAAAAAACTCCTATCATAGTAGAAAGCTCACACAACACACCCACAATTAACATATACAACTAGCAATAAATCCGGGTTTGAAGACACTCCGCAATACTGAAAAACCAACATTAGTCGTGCAATATTTATATTTTAAATAGTAAGAGATAAGTAGGGTAGAGAGAGAAGAGAGAGAGATAAGTGTAGATTAATGGGATTATTTGACATTTGAGAGTGTGTTAATTGAATTGTCTGGCATTTGAGATCGTGTAGAAAAATTGATATTTTTAAGCACGGAAAAAACTTATAGGATGAATTTTGTACCATTTGATCAAAATCAATGAAAATTGGATCAATTTTCATCGTTATTATACTTTTATAAATTGAGAATTCAACTTTGTTAGCCAAAACAAACAGCAAAATAAGCAACTGAGACCCTTGAACTATTGAGATCTCATGAAGACTGTCATAGTCCTCGGGCATTGTAGAGACAGCCCACCAAAGCAATTCTCATCGGTATAACAATAATGCCCTTAAATACTTTCAATAGGGCCATCTAGGATTGAAATGTCCCAGATAACAACTATTTTTGAGCGCACAACACATGAACCTACATTAAATTAAACTGAAAAACCGAAAAATAATTGATTTAGATTCTCTATAATACACTTTCCTTCATTTCCTCACATGGGTTACTCACCGTATATTGATGAGGCTGGGACTCACTTTTACACGGTGGATCCCTTTTTAATTCATAGCAGGTGATTGAGAAATTGAGGGAAAGTATACGAGAGTTGATCTAAATCTATAGATAACGAATTCCGTAGTTTCAGAACTTCTTGATGAAATCATGAATGTGAAAGTTAATTTCCTCTGCTCTTTCTTGGTTGATAAAGTGACCAACCTCTTCCATCACAACAATTTCCTCTAGCATAGGCACATCTTTTTTGAAAGTGCCACTGTGTACATATTCCTTCCCTCCTGCAGTAGTATACATCATGTCTTGATCCCCAACAATGAATTTCACAGGCACTTTCACCTGTACTCCAGTCCAAGGGGCAGTGAGTTCCCAATTCCTGCAAATTTTTTGAACAAAGGAAAAACATTTACGAAACGTTTCTATTAAATACAAGACAAGACATATAAGATAATGACCAAGTTTTAGAGAGTGTTTATACAAATCCAATGCTCGGTAGTAGTTCAATGCTCCAGTAAAGCCCTTGAGCTCATATTTATCGGTATAATATTTAAGGTCGTCTTCCGAAAACCAAGAGGGTAACGTCGGAGGTGGAGAATTGGGACGGATTCCGAATGGATTATCTTTAGGCAGGCACGGTGGACCTGGTTTGCGATCTGTTAGAATTTTCCTGAGTACTTGTGCAGAACCATAGTGTGCAATTTCAGCTTCAATCTCTCCAGGTTCCTGTAACATAACAAAATAGCAGTCAGGGGCGGAGCCATGAATTTTTCTAAAGACGGCAAAATGTGACTATACATAATTAACCAACTAATATAAAAAAAGTTTTAAGTTTAAACACAAAAAAAAAATTATTAAAATTCAAGACTAAATTAATGTATGAAACACCAAAACTAGTTTTTATTTAGCCTAAACAAAATCTGAATAAAAAAAATATGACTAAATATATAATTTTTAAAAAAATAGGGGGACATGTTTGAAATTTTGAACAAAATTATGGTTTAATAACATTGCATAATTGAGGAAAATCCAAAATAAAGGGGGGACAACTACGCATGTCAATGGAGCAAATCTTAATCCCAATCTATTTAACTAGATATGGATAAATATTTCAATTTGTTTCTCGAATCCGATTAAGTTTCTTTAAACGGATTTGAATTTGAATACATGTGTCTGAATACATATATATTCATTCAGGGTAACCCGTGTTTAAATACATGATGCAATGTGAATGGTTTTGAAAGCGATGTTGGTGGTCATTAGATGAATCTATTTGAGTCCGTCGAATGATCTTATTAAATCCTGTTCTGATTTATATTTTATATATGTGTGTGTGTGTGTGTGTGTGTGTCATCAATGCACCAACACTGTTAGTTTTGACAAGATCAAATCCAAGTCAATCCAGCAATATAATTTGGACAAAAAATTTTTGAGGTTAATACATCGACGTCTCAGTTGACATAATATGCATGGTTTGCAAATGATTGTATACATCTCGAGTTTACCCATCACACAAATCCAAAGAATGATTGGGATGATCCTCGGGTATTACCAAAAAAAAAAAAAAATCTAAAGAAAATGAACTCCAAATCTGTAAATGTGATAAGGTCTCCTCTTCAATGTAAGAGAGTAGTAGGGTTGGTGGATGGTGGAGAGATCTCATTTATAGTCAATAAATTATGTTCAAATAGCTTTAATATTAGACTTGCAATAGAAGGTGATAGTAGCACACATTTTAAGCATTAATTATGGATGTCCGAAACTGGCAATACCATTCAATTTAAGCACGCAGGGTTGATGGAGGGTGGATAATCCATTTAAAGCAACAAAGAATCTGGAGAAAGTAAAAACATGTATGTAGTGCAATTAAGTACAACGTTGAATGATATTGGTTGGTTGGAATCTCTCTCTCTCTCTCACACACACACATAAATTTAAAATTTTAAAATTTTAAGTTTAAAAATTTTCGCCTTAGACCCCAATTTTTATCGTGCCGAATCTGTTTTTTTTTGTAAGAAAAGGAGATTATGGTATAACAATCACCAAATTTCATTGAGGAAGCTAAAACTATACATATGATTTAGCGCGACGATAGAAAATTCGCACCATAGACTATGACAGGTACTTTTTTGGTGGACCATTGATCTAATGTCCACTAATCAATAAGTTAAAAATTAAATGTAAAAATTTACCAAAATTATTTACAAACTGGAAAAAAGAAATTTTGACAACGTATTAATTATGATTCTAATCATTTTCTTGTATCCAAAAGATTTATAGTTTGCATACATCCTGGAAATTATAATTAATAATTTATAAACAATTTTGATAAATTTTTACATTTAATTTTTAACTTATTTGATTAGTGATCGTTTAACAAATACTTATCAAAGGCTATAGTGTGATACAAAATTTTTATGATCACACTATCTTATATATATATATATATATATATACACTAGGGATAATCCAATTTTGAAGGTACGGTATAATGTAAATTAATATAAATGATTTTAAGAAGAATGTTGATCGATAATTGTTGAGTTTAGTTGAGACCGAATTTAGTAGAATCCGGACTATTGAAATGGCCAGGATTCATTTCAATAGCTCTCCAAACCAGTACGAGTGCGTAGGGATTGGAATGAATCGTAAATAGGTGAGTTCAGGCAGAAGTTACTTAGTTATCGATCGATCTGTATATATGTGTGTGCATATGTACCTGAAATCTGCACATATAGTAGTCGTCCCCAAAGAAAGCTCGCAAGGCCGGAACAGGCTTCATAGTCGGATGTCTTGGCCGGAACGGCACGCTGAGGCACACGAATGCCTTCACCTTCTCAGGTCGGAACAAGCACAAGTACCATGCCAACATAGCACCCCAGTCATGTCCGACTACGTACACCTGATCTTCTCCAAACGAGTTGATGAGGGAAACAATGTCTCCCACGACGTGAAAACATGTGTAACTGGTAATTGAAGTGGGAGCATCAGTTTGACCGTAGCCTCGGAGGTCAGGGGCTACTGCGTGGTAGCCTAAGGCGGCCAAGGCGGTGATCTGGTGGCGCCATGTGTACCAGATCTCAGGGAAGCCATGGAGGAAGACAACCACTGGACCTTCTCCTTTCTCTGCTATGTGCATCTTTATGCCGTTTACTTTCACCATCCTGTGCTTAATGCCCTCCACCTCTCTCTCTCTCTCTCTCTCTCTCTCTCTCTCTCTCTCTCTCACACACACACTATCTTTCTAAGTTTCTTTCGGTTGTACTTCTCTCTCTATATATAAACTATAAGCCGGGTTTTATTTTATAGGGTTTTCAAGTGACGAGGGAGAGGTAGGATGGAAGGTGAGTCAATGCTGCTGAGTCTTTGAAAACCGACTTAGGAATGGGTGGTGGGTCCATCGTCCAAAATAAGGATAAAATATTAGATGTAACGAGTTCACCGCTTTAGAAATATCTCTCGATCTAATCCTCTAATAATAAATAAATAAATAGGTACAATAAACCTCATTATTTTAAATAACTAGGTCTTCATGATTATTACATAGTATAATCGTTTAATAATAAATAAATAAAATGGACTCCATTATTTCAAACAAAAATAATATTATTTGAATTTAAAAATCTGATTTAATTTACTGACATAATGATGTGGCTTCGTAAGAATCATTGGACTAACACCAAATTTTAATGTTTGATGAGGTCTACAGTGAATTCAAAGGTTACAGTGAATTAGGTCAGTACATTATGTCAATAGATTAGGTCCAAATAACATTGCTTTTCAAACTGAGCAATGTTATTGAGATCTAATTTGTTGACTTTTGAATTAACCGTGAACTCTATCAAACATTGAAATTTAGTTTTGATCGAATGATTCAACCGAAATTACATTATTATATCAAATTTTTAGATCAAAATAATATTTCTCTTTTAAATAACCACATCTCCATGTAGGATAGTAATCACAACATATTCAAATAGTCTAGTTCACTTGTTCATTTGTTTATTTATTATTAGATGGTTGTAACACGTGACAATGCAAATGTGGTATAACTGTTACACTCAATATTTACTCCAAAATAAGGGCGGAGCTACATATCTCAATTTTTTTATCCAAAAATTTTTTTGTATAGATTTTAATGTATTTAAAATTTTTCCTTAGAAAAAGATCTCATAAATTTTAATTTACTTAATAATTTCTAACATAAGATTAAAATTTTTGACTCAATTAAGTGAACTTGATTATTTTCTATTTAATTGAATCCCCCAACAAGTGTTCAAATTTTTTTGAAGCTTTTCGTTCCTTCCCTTGTATCTTGTCCTCTATTTCGATATTTTTGTTAATTTTGATATATCGAAATACAATATTATTATGCAATATTTTTATGTAATGAATATGAATTAATCACAAAAGGGGGCATGTAGAAGCGAGCTCGGCATGTGAGCATTCGGCACATGCAGCTTTCTTTCATAAGAGAGCTCCAGAAACCGCCTAAGAGCATGTTTGCCCGCATCCTTGGAAAGTAGCTCGCTTGAGTTGCACTATGGTCTGTTTGGCAGAAAGGATAAAAAGGAGGAAAGATGAAAAATAAGAAAAATATATTTTTTATTCTTTAAAGATGGAAAATAAGAGTGATACATTTTTTTTTTCTTTATGTTTGGTTGGATGGATGAAAAAAAAAATTATAATTTTCTTAAAAAATTTTTTTTGTCTAATATTAGGGGTGACGATTGAATTGTGTCATGTTAGATTCATATTGAGTCATAAAATTATGAGTTTTTTATGTTTCTTATTCGCATGTTAGATCCTTTTCATGTTTGTGTCGAGTTATAATTAAGTTCTTGTCATGTTCATATCATAAAATTCGTGTTGAGTTCGAGTCTAATCATCGTGTTGAGTTGAAAATTTTCACCCCTAATTAAGATGAAAAAAATATTTTTTTTTAATTTAAAAATTAAAATTTTTATTTTTATTAAAATTTTTTATTATATATATATATATATATATATATATATATGTATGTATAAATACATATTTTATTTTTATATTTTTATATGAAATTAATGTATACATAATATATAGACAAATAAGATAGATCTTAATACAAATAATTAACTTTTCATTCATTGTCCTTCCAATTTTGGAGGAATTGATTTTAATAAGTTGGAAGGAAAACCAATCTATCCACTTTTCTATTTTTTTTTTTATCAAATATGATATAGTATTTATCTCTCCAACTTTCCATCAAGCATCGACCAGGATCAATGACTCAATGTTAAGGCAGAAGACAGACCTAAATGCAAACAGAACTGGTGGCATATAATGCAAGGAAGATGAATAGATGGCGTCATTTTATTAATCAGGGGAATTATATGGTACCGAAGGAGATACCGTATCGTCAATTATAATTGTTTAAGGAAAGTCTATGATCGATCATGTGTATTTGTGATCAATCACGGTCCCTTGAACAGTTGTAACCTCTTTCTTATGAATTATAATTTTACAAAAAAAATAATAACCAGCGATACCGTACCCAAGTCAGTACCATAGAATTCTCCTATTAAATACTAGTTATTACTTGTGCTTGAAAACACAGAGTAATAAAAAATGGTAAATAATAAATATATTTGTATTTAAATCAAAAATTAAATTGTAACCATAGAGAAAAAATAAAAGAATTTAAACATCGGTTTGCAGTGGGAGTGAGAAATAATGGGCAGTAGTTGCGGTGATAAGAGACAGTAATAGTTGTAGTGACAAATGATGGTGGTGATAGTGGCGGCGACAGTGGTGGTGGTGGCGGCGGCGACAATGGTGGTGGTGGTGGCGACAACGGTAATGGTAGTGGTAAGAGCGACGGTAAGGGTGATAGTGATGGCCGCGGCGACTACGATGGTCGTGGTGGTGGTGGCGGCGACGGTAGAAGTAAAGGTGGAGGTGGTGGTGGCGATGGCGGTGGTGGTGATGGTGGTGGTGGTGGTGGTGGCGACGATGATGGTGGAGGTGGAGGTGGAGGTGATGGTGGCGATGGTAGTGGAGGGGGTGACAGTGGCGGTGGTTGTGGCGGCGATGGTGGGGGTG